ATGAAAACCACGGAGCGCGATAGGGTTGCAGCTTTCCAATCTTATGAGTGACATTTCTAACCTCTAGCACAGGACTTCCTCACCATAGAGACGCAAATCAAAACGTCGAGCATTCGTGAATAATAAGCATGTTTTTTTTTTGCTACGACTGCTCAGAGCTCCGAATAGTCATTTTAACTTTGGAATGTTGCAACCCCATCGCGCCTGATGGCTGTCATTATCGCTTCGTCATGGCCAGGCTAAGACAGAAAGAGCCACAACGCCCCGGAGCGCCACTCCTGGCGATCCCAGGATCGTGTCGTCATAGCCGCGCTAGCACAGAAACCAACGCAACGTCCCAGAAAGCCATTCCTGGCGATCTTATCGGCGTTCCGCTTGAGCCTAGCTATGACGGCACATGCAACGGCCCGAACTGTATTCATTTGGCGAATCGGAGCCCCACATCATGTATGGAGTTCAACAAGGGCCCTCCCCTCGGCCTTGTCAGAGGGGCTGCCATCTCGTAATCGGGGGGCTTGTGGCCTGTGGGACCGCCAGAGAGCGTCCCATGGATATGTCTCAATAGTCGCAGCTTCAATTGCCGTGGCGGCGGCAGTTCGTTGTCCTAGCTCGGACCTGCCAAAATCAAAGCGCGACTATTTGAATGTGGGAAGTTTTGTTGTAAACTTCTGCGCCGCATGAATGCCATTCGGGCCGTTGCTTCCATGGGCTTCCCTAGCCTGGTTCACGCGAAACGCCGGTGAGATCGCCAGGAATGGCGCTCCGGGGCTTTGCGCTGTTTTCTGTGTTGGCCTGGTTTTGACGACGCGATCTCGGGATCACCAGGAATGGCGTTTTTGGGCGTTGCGGTTTCTTCGGTCTTAGCCTGGCCAGGATGAAACGACGATGAAAACCACGAGGTGCAATGGGGTTGCACCTTTCCAACGTTACGAATGACCCTCCGTTGAGCATTCGTAAATAAGACAACTCAGTTTTTGAAGGGTAAGAATGCTCAACGCTGTGATCGGCATAGTTTTGGTCGGGAAGTCCTGTGTTACAGCTTCAAAAGATCATTCATGACGTTCGATAGTTGCAACCCTATTGCGCCCCGTGGCTTGCATCACCGTTTCGTCAAAGCCAGGCTAAGACCAAAAAGCGCAACATCCCATAACGCCATTCCTGGCGATCCGAAGATCGTTTCGTCACAGCCAGGCTAACACAGAACACAGCGCCACTTCCCAGAGCGCCAAACCTGGCGATCTCGTCGGCGTTTCGCTTTAGCCAAGCTAGGACGGCACATGCACGGGCCCGAACTGTACTCACTTGGCGAATCGAAGCCCCCCCATCATGTATAGAATTCAGCAGGGGCCCTCGCATGTGCCAGAAGGCCGTGGATGTAACAAAAAAACGCGAAATTGATTCGTCACGTTGGAATTTCGCCATTCAGACCTCGCGGGTTCGTTCTGACTGGGTTGCGCGCTAATATTTTACATGCACGGTAGTAACAGTAGAAGTAAGAATCGTAGTAATGGTAGTCGTAGTAGTGGTAGTAGTACAAGCAGTCGTAGCAGTAGTCCTAGAAGTGTTAGTGGTAGCTGTTTATAGTTCTAATACTAATGGTAGCGAAAATTAGGGTAGTAGTCGTAGTCGTAGTAGTAGTCGTAGTAGTAGTAGTAGTAGTAGTAGTAGTAGCAGCAGCAGCAGCAGCAGCAGCAGCAGTAGTAGTAGTAGTAGTAGTAGTAGTAGTAGTAGAAGTGGTATTAGTAGTAAGGAAAACGTTAGTAGTACGAGTAGTAGTAGTAGTAGTAGTAGTAGTAGTAGTAGTAGTAGTAGTAGTAGTAGTAGTAGTAGTAGTGGTAGTAGTAGTAGTAGTACTAGTAGTAGTAGTAAAAGACAAAATAGTACTAATAGTAAGAAGAGTAGTTGTACTAGAAGTAGACGTGATAGTAGTAGTAGTAGTAGTAGCGCGAGAAGTGGAAGGAGTACTAGTGGTAAGAATCGTAGTGGTAGTTTTAATAACAGATCGCACGAATCAAAATTCACAAGAGGGATCGTAGCAGTAATACTAGCACTAGTAGTAGCGATACTAGTAGCCGTAGTAGTAGTAGTAGTAGTAGTAGTAGTAGTAGTAGTAGTAGTAGTAGTAGTAGTAGTAGTGGTAGTAGTAGTAGTAGTAGTAGTAGTAGTACGTAGTAGCAGTAGCAGTAGTAATAGTAGTCGTAGTTGTAGTCGTAGTAAGAGTAGTAGTAGTAGTAGCAGTAGTAGTAGTAGTAGTAGTAGTAGTAGTAGTATTCATAATAATAGTAGTCGTGGTAGTAGTAGTAGTAGTAGTAGTAGTAGTAGTAGTAGTAGTAGTAGTAATAGTAATAGTAGTGCCAGTAGCAGTAGTAGTAGTAATAGTAGTAGTAATACAAGTAACGATCGTAGTCGTAGTCGAAACCGTGGTCGTAGTAGTAGCAGCAGTAGTAGTAGTAGTAGTAGTAGTAGTTGTGCTAATAATAACACGATTGACAATAGTAGCGTGACTAAAAATAAAAAGGAGTGGGAAAAGTAGTAGTAGTAGTATAAGTAGTACTAGTAGCCTTAGTAGTAGTAGTAGTAGTAATAGTAGTAGTAGTAGTAGTAGTAGTAGTAGTAATAGTAGTAATAATAGTGACCTTAGTCGTAATAGTAAAAGAAGTCGCGATCGTAGTCGTAGTCGAAACCGTGGCCGTAGTAGTAGTAGTAGCGTGACTAATCAAAAGAAGAACAATACTGGCAAAAGTAGTAGTCGTAATAGTAGTAGTAATAATAATAATAGTAGTAGCAATAATAGCAGTAGTAGTAATAGTAGTAGTAGTAATAGTAGTAGTAGTAGTAGTAGTAGTAGTAGTAGTAGTAGTTTCAGTAGGAGTAGTAGTAGTAGTAGTAGTACTGGAAATAGTAGTAGTAGTAGTAGTAGTAGTAGTAGTAGTAGTAGTCGTCGTCGTCGTAGTAGTAATCGTCGCCGGCAGAAGACGTACAAGTTATAGTATCAGTAGTCGTAGTACAGTCGTAATAGTAATAGTAGTAGTAGTAGCAGTAGTAGTAGTAGTAGTAGTTGTATTATCAGAAGTGAATTAATAGTAAAAGTACTAATGGAAGTATACTGCTACTAATAGCAGTAGCAGTAGTGGTATGTCGTAGTAAAGCTAAACGTAGTAGGAGTAGTAATAGTAGTAGTCGTAGTAGTAGTAGAAGTAAGAGTAACAATGGTAGTCCTCGTAGTGGTAGCGCTCGTAGCCATAACAATAGAGAGTATTATGTTGGCTTGCCACACGTGGGATAGTGATGTTGCTACTCTAAGAAGATACCGACTCCGAATCGAAACTGTCCCCCGCGATAATATAGGTTTGCCTTGCCGCTGCTGTCCCCCGACCAACTCTGTGTTGGCGGGAGATGATCAACTCTCAATGGTGAAGAGGGGGTTATGATTTACTATCCGAGGCACGGGGTTTGCGTCGCTGCGGTGCGGCCCAGCGGCGCCTCTGGCTGCGGAACGCCTTGCATCCCATGCCTGCTCTGTTCGCGACCGCGTTTGTTTGTTGGGCGTGTTGATTGTTTGAACTGTCTTTCTGTGTGTCTTGTATGTGTGGTTGTTCTCCCCGTGTTTAAAACATGAATCCGGCTCTCTCTCTCTCTCTCTCTGTCTACCCCCCACTATCTCTTATTCCTTCTCTTTATATGTCCCTTCCTTCCTCTCGCTCTCTCTCTCTCTCTCTCTCGCTTCCTGCTCTCTCTCTCTCTCTCTCTCCATGCCTCCCTCTCTCTCCTTCGTACGATGCTTCCTTCAGTGCCCCTTCTCCCCTGATAGCATTGCGCTTGGGGTGCTGATAGAAATTCCAAAGATCCGAAACTCTTTCTCAAGGGGATCCTCCGGCAGCGTGCCCTGAGGCACCAAGCGAATTGTCTTCGGTCCCCGCGAGAACCCTCTTCATTGAAAAATTTCACACTGTTCAAGAGGTCCTCGTCCTGGAATTCTGGGGACTCTCGAGCGCTCGCAAGGATTCCCGCGTGGGTTGCGCCAACGGCCCAAGACGCCCCCAAAACGGCACCATAGACCTCCAAGGCGGCCCGAAAGTGTCAAAGAGTCTTTGGGTCCCACGACTGCCCAGAGAGGGCCCTAAGGTAGCCGCCGACGGAAAAGGTTCCTTGGAGGCCCCCAGAGGCCCCCAAGTGGCATGGAAGATTCCCCAGGCCCCCCCCCAAGAGGCTTCCAATAAACCCACAGGAGTGTCCCAAGAGGGCCTTGAGGCCTCCTCGTCTTTCTCCTCCTCGTCCTCCTGCTCCTCGTCCTCCTTCCTTCTCCTCCCTCTCCTTCTCGATTCTCTTTCTCTCCCAAGTGTTCCCCAGAAGGGGTTCTACAACGGCAGAGGAAAAAGAGAGTCCAACAGCCTGGCCAGACTTGGGCCCATCGTGTGGCCCCGTGGGCGTTTCTACAAGGCACAGAGCGGCGGTAATTCGCCGAAGGTGTCTTCAAACATACGCTGCAACGTGCATCCAAATTAGGAGCCTCCCAAGAGCCTTTCAGGGGCCTACCAATGGCCTCTCGGGCCTCTTTAAAGAGCTCAAGAGCCTGTCATGAGCCTCTCAAGACCCTCTCAGGACCCTCAGGACCCTCTCAGGAACCTCTCTGGCCCTCTCTGGAGTCTCTCTAGAGCCTGTCCTTAGCCTCTCAAAGCGTAGCATTATTCTTCCATTCTGGGGCTCTGCTGGGGTCATCTTCATGGCGAACCGTCTGAAGGAGCGCACTGCGTTTACTACAAGGCTTACGTTGCTCCAGTCGTACTTGAGGACCACATCCCAGAAATAATTTCGAGCACCCAGAGAAGTGTCGAAACAGTGTCGAACGAGTATCGCCTCCCAGGGCCCGACACGAAACAAACTTCAAATTTCGGTACTTTCTTGGTGTTCGAAACTAATTCATGTGATCAGGGTTAAAGCAGGTCGGAACATCATAGTGCACGGCCCCTGAGCCCCCCAAGCGCTGCCACCGTGGCATCCTGCGTACTTCTCGTCGACGCGCCGGTGATCCGACCATTGACGTCCACCGGCCGCAGGGTGAGATCCTCCCAGCCAAGCCGAGAATTCCCAAGAGGGAGGGGGAGAAGCAGATCAGGATCACGGAAGATCAGCCGCGGCAACAAAAGTTGGATGGGGAGGGGATCACTCGGCGGTCGGAAGAATTGCGAAAGCACATGAAAGTACGAAGGCGTTGGAAGTAGACTGGATCGGATCGCCGCCCGCCCCCCGAAGAGGAGGGTAGAGGGACAATCACTCGTTGACTGAAGTAGGAAGGCGAATAAAGTGGATTGGGATCTGGGTTCAAAAACTCAGACTTTCATTGACGAACGTGTATGTGACAGGCACACTGATTCTACAAAATACATTCGAGGCCGCTGCGGACGCCACTTCAGCCCCACGGCCACGCCTGCGTGGGCACGGACACCGCTCCGCGGGGCCGTCGTCGCCCCCCGAGAACGCCAGGCCGCTAGCACATGGTCCTGGCCGACCTGGAGCGCACAGGGAACAGCAGCCGTGGAGGGGCCGTACGAGAACGGCGCCCGTGCACCGCACCATGCCTGGACTCGTTTTGGGCTTCGGGCCCCTGTCCGACGCGGTGCGCTGCATCGAAGAACTGTGCACCGCACCGTTCCTGGGTCGAGGATCGACGACGCCTCGGCAGACGCCAACGCCGTACGGTGCACACAAGTCGGCCGCGGAAACCGAGGATAGTGAAGAGGAAACTTGGCTTGACCCTCCCCTTCGGGATCGTGTCGCGATGCTGCACGGATGGCTTTGCGTGTCCGTGCCTGGTGAAAGCCGCCGCTCGCCAAGAACGGCTTCGTAAATTCTTGACACGCTAGCCTGTGAAATGAATGCAGCGCTGTTTCAAAAGCTGGCCCTGAGACAAGCAACGCAAATGCGAATCACGGCTGCGATGTCCAGCATGGGAGCACATCTCCACACCACCATGTGCTCCTTTCCGTCGTTAAAGAACGTGTTTTCTGCCCGTCGCTCGGTCGGGTAGCGTGGAGTTGGCAACACTATCAAGGACAACGCCTGGTTTGGAGGGAATCATTGCGATCTTCGTGTTTGGGTTCTCCATCCTGGAATGCATGTCATTTAAGATATCTCCTCCATTGGGTATTGGGTCTTCGGCACAAGGATCCGTATTCGTAACACGATTCCTTGTTGCAATTTCGACTGTAGCATTTCCGATCTGCGAGCGCTAGTCAAAATGCATATACCAGCACATCTGCATCAATGGCGCGATGCCAGGACGTCACCAAGCAGACGCCTTTTTCTTCTTCCTCCTCCTCCTCCTCCTCCTCCGCCCTTCCGTCACCCTCACACTCTATTCGGTGATCGGAAGAGAGCATTCTGCCATTCGCGGCGATAACGGGCGTCATGGGAACGTGGGGGGCGGAAGGGGGCATGATCAAAGTAACGCCCCCCCTCCTCTGGCGTGTGGGTCTGCCACCAGGGAGACTGGTGCCGGACGCACTGCGGCAGTGCCGGGGACGCACTGGGGGTCGGGGGGGAGAGGGGCATGATGACGCGCGTTATAGCCCAAAAGGTAACAAAACACTCTCAAGCCACACGGTCGCCATACAACGGGAGACCAAAATGTACCGATACCGCTACTCCCCGGACCTCTCCCAAGGTGCATTCTGCATTCTGACCGGAATTTCGAAGCAAATCCAGCCGTGGCGACGAGGGTCTCCCAGGACCCAGGAGGCCCAAGAGGAGAAAACGAGGCAAGGGAACCGGCATGGGCACCTCCTCCCCCCCCCTGAAGAGAAACGTGTCAGACCAAGCGTCCGGCGGCCCAAAGACCGGCGAAGACACCCACACGCCTCGACCCCGCAGAGCTCGTCTTCGAGCCTCGCCTCGCCCCTCCTGCGCTCGTGCCCAGAGCCCTGTTGGCGCGCCTCGTCCTGCAGTGAGCCCCTGGACCTGCTGCGGCTGCTCGACCTTTGCCTCGAACCCCACCACGCCTCCCTCCTCGTGCATTCCTGGATCCTCCTGCCTCCTGCTCCTCCTGCCTCCTCCTCCCTCCTCCCTCCTCCTCCTCCTCCTCCTCCTCCTCCTCCTCCTCCTCCTCCTCCTCGTCCTCCTCCTCCCTCCTCGTCCCTCCTCGTCCGTCGCCTCCTCGTGCAACCGCGACCCCGGCACCCATCCCTTTTTAGGATGGGTGGCCACAAGAGTCAGTCGTGTAAGAGCGCAGTCCTCTCACGATGGTTCCTGGAGGCCTCTTGGGGACTTCCTGGGGTCCCTTGGGGGCCTCTTTGGGGCCGCTTGGGGCCTCTTTGGGGCGTCTTTGGCGTCTTGGGGGCGTCTTGGGCCGCTTTGGAAGACCGTCCTGGGGGGCTCTTGGGGCTCTCTTGGGGTCCTTTGGGCCGTCGCAGGGGCCTCTTGGACCGTCTTGGGGGCCTCTTTGGGCCGTCTTGGGGCCCTCTTGGGGGCTTTTGGGCCGTCTTGGAGCCCTCTTGGGGGCTTTTGAGGCCATCTTGGGGCCATTTTGGAGGCTGCTTGGGCCGTCATTGGCTTCTGAGAGCCGACAAAGGCGAGAACGCTAAAATCTGTGCATCCCCACGGCCTGCCAGGGGCAACGGCGATACAAGCGAGAGCAGCGCCACAGCGCGGGCGGCCCGGGCGGGGGGGGCGGAGGGGACAGGGACAGGGGACGAGGGGCGGTCGTCGTGTCGTCGTGGCGCTAGCGTGGCCACCGTTTCTCCTCCTCCTCCTCCTCCTCCTCCTCCTCCTGCTCAGCCTCGACCTGTTCCTCCGCGCCCTCAGCGGCAGCCTCCTCTTCTCGTTCTCCGCCTCCGCCGCCTCGTCCTCAAGCTGGCCTCGTCCTCCTCTTCCTGCCTCCGGGCGCCCCGGCGCATTCTGCTCAAGCCGGCCTCGCTTCTCAAGCTGGCTCCTCCTCCTCCTCCTCTTTTTGCTGTAGCCCGACTGAAGGGTTTAGCCTGTAGCGTTCTTGAGTGACTGCGAAAGTGAAACATGATCCCGGCAAAGCAACCTAACAGCGATGTGTAGGAGCATATCTGGAAGCATTCCCCTTAAGATTCAGGTGAGAATCCAGTTGTAGAATTCTGCTGTTCTCGCAGTCGCAGTCGCAGTCGCAATGACAGTCGCAGTGGCAACGGCCTCAGGATCCAATGGAATCCCAAGGATTCCTTGGGATTCCTAAGGCATCCTTAGGCATCCTTAGGAATCCATAGGAATCCTTAGGAATCCTGATTCCCAGGGGTTCCTAGGGATTCCTGAGGAATCCTGAGGAATCCTAAGGCTTCCTAAGGATTCCTGAGGATGCTTAACTATGCCTACGGATTCCTGAGGATGCCTAAGGATTCCTATGGATTCCTATGGATTCCTACGGATGCCTCAACCTGCCTCAGTTTCAGCCTCAGCCTCAGCCTGCCTCGGCTTGCCTCAGCCTCAGCCGCAGCCTGCCTCGGCCTCAGCCTCAGCCTGCCTCAGCCTCAGCCTCAGCCTGCCTCGGCCTCAGCCTGCGTCAGCCTCAGCCTCAGCCTCAGCCTGCCTCAGCCTCAGCCTCAGCCCTCAGCCTCAGCCTCAGCCTGCCTCAGCCTCAGCCTGCGCCTGGCCTCAGCCTCAGCCTCTCGGCCTCAGCCTCAGCCTCCCTCAGCCTCAGCCTCCCCCTCCTCTTCCCCCTCCCCATTCAGCCTCACCTTGTCTCAGCTTCAGCCTCGGCCTCAGCCTCAGCCTCAGCCTCAGTCTCAGCCTCAGCCTGTCTCGGCCTCCTGCCTGCCTCAGCCTCAGCCTCAGCCCTCAGCCTCAGCCTCAGCCTCAGCCTCAGCCTCAGCCTCCTCAGCATCAGCCTGAGCCTCAGCCTGCAGCCTGCCTGCCTCGTCCTCAGCCTGCCTCAGCCTGCCTCAGCCTCAGCCTCAGCCTCAGCCTCAGCCTGCCTCAGCCTGCCTCGGCCTCAGCCTGCCTCAGCCTCGGGCATTCAAAATATGGCACAGGACTGGTGCTCTGGGAACGTGAAGATCACGAAGTGGCCCACAGTTGGCTCCGGGCAATCAAAATATAGTACAGGAATGGTGTTCTGGGAACACGAAGAACACGAAGTGGCCTACAGTTGGCTCTGGGCATTCAAAATGTGGCCTAGGAATGGTGTTCTGGGATCACGAAGAACACGAAGTGGCCTACAGCTGGCTCCGGGCAATCAAAATATGGTACAGGAATGGTGTTCTGGGAGCACGAAGAACACGAAGTGGCCTACAGTTGGCTCCGGGCATTCAAGATGTGGCCTGGGAGTGGTGTTCTGTTGGCTCCGGGCAATCAACATGTGGCTCCTGGCAATGAAAATGGGGAGTCCCCGGATTCCCGCGGGAGTCCCCGGATTCCCGCGGCACCCGTCCGGCATCTGCCCAGACCCCCCTGGGGAGTCATGATGCTCTTTTGAAACCATTAGAAACCTATCAGTCTTCGCTGTTAGGTAAGTACGACTCGGGGCACTGGTACCTGGCGGGCGCTGCAGAAAAAGTTGGGAACAGAAAAAGCGAAAAAGCATAGAACAGTTATTTGGCGCCCGCCAGGTACAGGAAGCATGGTGAATGTGCCTTATTGGGTCATAGTCACAAGTGAAATCAGTATAGCGAACTAACAAGACCCCCCCTCCTCTTCCTCCTCCTCCTCCTCCTCCTCCTCCTCCTCCTCCTCCTCCTCCTCCTCCTCCTCCCTCCTCCCTCCTCCTGGCGCGGCGAGGGCAGGCCTGCACGAAGCCACCCACGGGGCACGAGGCGCAGGGCGAGGGCAGGCCACCGGCACGCGCCCCCGAGGCCCCTCGCCATGCCCGCCCCCCCCCCGCGCTCCTGCGACTGGGCCATCCTCTCCTCGGTGCCCCGCGAGAACACGGCCACCTGAGCGGCGATCCGAAGCGGGCCCTGCGCGAGGTGGCGTGGCGACCTCACGCCGAGACTTGCGCGGGCCGCCGGGCGTGGCACGCCACAGTGGAGACGAGGGCGACCTTACGCGGAGCCTTACGCGGGCAACCTGCGTGCCCATGTCGGCGTCGACGACCCCTGTGTGTGGCGTCGCTCACCTGTCGGGTGTTGCCAGAAGTGCCCCTGGCCGCAGGCGCCCCCAGCTTTTCGCACCTGTCTGGAGCCCCGGGGGGCCCTCTGGGCCTCGCGAGGGGCTTTCTGGAGGCAGCCTGGGCCACCCCGAGAATCCTTGGGGGCGCCGTGGGCCAGGGGCACGTCCAGCAACACCCGAACCTGGGCGGGGGCGGCCGCCGCCCCCTTCCCGTAAGGCGAAACCAGGACGAGGACAAATCCTGATGAAGATAAATCGAGAATCCCTGAGATTCGGCGGCTCTGGGGGATGTCTCGGGCGCCGCGGCCCCCTCGAACGCTCTGAGAGCGTTCCAGAAGGCTCTGGAACGGATTTATACTTGTCCTAGCCCCATCCCCCACCCGCCCCCACAGGAGTGCAGCCCCCTCCCACTCCCCCTTTTTCTCTGAGAGAGCCATATGCCATATCTAACATCAGAACACTCCCACCCATCCCTTCCCACTGCGCTGATAGTCCCACCAGCCCTTTGGAGCGTAGGTGGTCTAGGGTGTTTTGTCTTCATCTGCCCCTCTTCCCCGTCGGGGAGGGGTTGATCACTGTTCCTTACTAAAATCAAAATGAAGGGGCCGAACGGTCATTCATTGTCCCTGGGCCCGTGGCTGAATAGGGCATTTGTTGTGAGAATTATGCTTGTTGCGTTGTTGTTGTTGTTGTTGTTGTTGTTGGTGGTGGTGTTGTTGTTGTCGTCGACACACCCGCGACCCACCCCGCGACCCACCCGCGACCCACCCCGCGCCCCACCCCGCGGCCCACCCGCGACCCACCCCGCGACCCACCCTGTGACCCACCCTGTGACCCACCCCGCGAGCCAGCCGCGAGCCAGCCGCGAGCCACCCACGACCAACCCCGCGACCCACCCCCCAACCCACCCCCCGACCAACCCGCGACCCATCCGCGACCAACCCCGCGACCCACCCGCGACCCACCTTTTGGTGGAACGACAAAATCGGCGCCTGCGGCGGGGTCTTTGAATAATTTGCGAAACTTTGGCGCCTGCGGCGGGCTTCTCTAGAGTCTCGCAAACTACCGACGTCCCCACTGCCCCCCCACCCTTATCCGCATCTGCGGGGTGCTGCGTACACCACCTCCCCCGGGCGACCGGCGTCCAACCAGGAACCATGAGGACACCATAACGACCCGCCCCCAACCATCCCTGTAACAAAATTATCCCGGCGAAGCAACCTAACAGCGATGTGTAGGAGCATATCTGGAAGCATTCCCCTTAAGATTCAGATGAGAATCCAGTTGTAGAATTCTGCTGTTCTCGCAGTCGCAGTCGCATTCGCGATGACAGTCGCAGTGGCAACGGCAGTCGCAGTCACAGCCTCAGCCTCAGCCTGCCTCAGCAGCCTCAGCCTGCCTCAGCCCTCAGCCTGCTTCAGCCTCAGCCTCAGTCTGCATTCAGCCTCGGCCTCAGCCTCAGCCTGCCTCAGCCTCACCCTGCATCAGCCTCAGCCTCAGCCTCAGCCTCAGCCTGCCTCAGCATCAGCCTGCCTCAGCCTCAGCCTCAGCCTGCCTCAGCCTCAGCCTCAGCCTGCTTCAGCCTCAGCCTCAGTCTGCCTTCAGCATCAGCATCGGCCTCAGCCTCAGCCTGCCTCAGCCTCAGCCTGCATCAGCCTGCGCCTCAGCCTCAGCCTCAGCCTGCCTCAGCCTCAGCCTCAGCCTGCCTCAGCCTCAGCCTGCATCAGCCTGAGCCTCAGCCTCAGCCTGCCTCAGCATCAGCCTGCTTCAGCCTCAGCCTCAGTCTGCCTTCAGCCTCGGCCTCAGCCTCACCCTCAGCCTGCATCAGCCTGAGCCTCAGCCTCAGCCTGCCTCAGCATCAGCCTGCTTCAGCCTCAGCCTCAGCCTCAGCCTGCTTCAACCTCAGCCTCAGTTCCCCTTTGCCTCGGCCTCAGCCTCAGCCTGCCTCAGCCTCAGCCTGCCTTAGCCTCAGCGTTCAAAATGTGGCCCGGGAATGGTGTTCTGGGAACTCGAAGAACACGAAGTGCCCTGCAGTTGGCTCCGGGCATTCAAAATCATGCCCAGGAAGGGAGTTCTGGGAACTCGAAGACAACGAAGTGGCCTACAGTTGGCTCCGGGCATTCAACATCATGCCCAAAAATGGAGTTCCGGGAACTCGAAGAGCACGAGGTGGCCTACAGTTGGCTCCGGGCATCCAGAATGTGGCCGGGAATTGAATTCTGGGACCTCGAAGACCACGAAGTGTGCAACTGTTTGCTTAAAACGACTTCCGCGGATTCTCCCCGGATCCTGCCCGGACCCCCCTGGGGAGTCATGATGCTCTCTTTTGAGACCACTAGAAAACTATCAGTCTTCGCTGTCAGGTAAAAAAGCAAACCGCACTCTGCCTCCACATTTGGAGCATGCGCGGCCAACCCAATGCGCCCCCTCGCCCGCCTTCCTTGTCAACCAAAACAAGGCAAAGTACACTTCGGGTCAAAGTCTTGAGTCATGTTCGTGAGGCTGGCGAGCACATTTTTTTCAAAAAAAAAAAAAAAAAAAACGCGGGGGTGTCAGCATATTCCCTGCTGCGCGCAGATCCACCATCCCTGACAAAAAAATATACAGCATGCGCCCCGCGGCTAAGTCTGGATCGTGCGCGGCCACCCCGCGATCACTGTCGAATTGTTTCTGACAGGGACCGCGGGGGTGGTGGCGCGTGGCCTGGTGTGCGCAGGCCCACCAGACACAATGATGGGCATTGGTTTTCGACAAGGATGGTGTGGGCCGACATGTTTCCCGATGCGTGCTGTCACGTGCGCAGGCGCACCTGACGCACGTGCCCCGAACGTGGCGCATCTGGCGCGGTTGGGGTGTGTGGCACACCTGGCGCACTCGGAGCACGTGGCGCATATGGCGCACCAGGCGTGCCTGGCACGCTCGGGCCCCAGGGGTGCCTGGCGCGCGTGGCGCCCCTGGCACGCGTGGAGCACCTCGCCCAAGCGTCGCGCACTTGGGGTCGGCTTTGGTTCCCAGTAGCTGCCCATCCAAAGACGACCGCTGAACATGCTCAGGCTCGGGCGATACTTCTGTGTTGGGACGGAGGGTGGGAGTGAGCTAGACGGTTTGCGGGCGGGTGGGTAGCTTGACCCCTCCCCCATACCCCCTCCCCTGCCGGAAATGGACGGGACTGGTCGCGAGGTGCCAGGGCGTCCAAAAAGGCCTTGGCGAGGAAACCCAAATCATTGGTTCCACTGTAGTTCTGGCCCAATTTAGGCTTCTTGGGGGGGGGGGGCACCGCTAATTAAAGCCCCCCTCTTGTTTGATCGAAAGCGTGCAAGAGGGCCCCAAGAGGCGCCCAGGAGGCCCCAGGAGGCCCCAAGAGGCGCCCGAGAGGCCTCCAAGAGGCTCTCAAGGGACCCCCAAGAGGCCCCATGAAACTCCCCGATGCACCAAAACGCTCCAAGAGGCCTCCGGGACCGCCAGGAGGCCCCCAAGACGCTGCGAGAGGCCTCCAATGGGGACCCTTCCTCTGCGCGCTGCCCACTTCCCTGATCGAGGCAACTCTTCTGGGCATCGTCTCCAGATTGGCTTTTGGGGTTACTTTTTGATCGCGACCGCGGCGAGACAGGTCGGGCGGCGTAAAGGAACGAAGCGCAGAAGCATCGGCCTAAACTAGCGCAAGGGAGGAGGAAGGCGAACAGAGGAAGAGGACGAACGCGGAAGAGAAAAGACCAAGCGGGGGGGGGCAAACGAGAGGCGAGCCTCGCTGCCGCTCAAAGAGACGGCGCACACCTGGAAAAACTTCCGGGCGAAGTGCAGCACCAGGATGGTGTAATTCGAGGGCAGCTCCGCGCCCACGTAGAATACCTCCAACTAGACGAGCAGCGAGTCCACGACGAGCCGACGGACCGCGGAACGGAAGACAGCGAGGTCACCACTGCGAAGGAGATCCCCAGCATGCAGGCGCTCAACAAACCAAATCCGAAGCGCCAGACACCGAGAAGGTGCCGTGCCGCCAGGCGGGGACTGGCGCCCGCGCCGCCGCGGTGGCGTGAAGGAGCGGAAGACAGGCAGACAGGCGACTGAAGGGGACGAGCTGATAAAGCGGGCGCGAACGGCACGCGCCGCCCTGGTGGCAGGAAGGCACAGCTGAAGACTGTATTGGATGAGCAGCGCGGTGGGGGAGGACCAGGTGTCCGTCGACCCCGTGCGGGGAGGGGAGGCAGGCGGCAGGCGGGACGCAATGTGCGGACCGCCGGGACGGCCAGGGGGAGACCTCCACGGAGGGGGACGCCTGTGGCGACGAGGAGCGATAGCCGGCCGCTGGCAGGGTGAGAGGCGGGAACAGCCGGAGAACCGCTGGGGGGAGTACCCCCCGGGGGAAGCCCGGAGGCCAGCGCGTCGGCCCGAGGGGGTTTCCCTGCGGCCTCGCACGCTGGGGCAGGGCAAGGAAAAGGAGCCGCAGAAGGCAGACGGGGGCCCAGGGGGGGCACACAGCCGCTAAGCGGCAATGGAGAGGCCCAAGCAACGCCTAGAGCGGAGCAAGGCGGCTGGGCAGCCGCCGCGGGGACAAACTCAGCGGTGACACCCCTCGGGCGCCCCGGCGGTCTCGCGGCGGGAGACAGCGGGGGGAGGGCCGGGAGACCCCAGCGCGGTCGCCTGAGGCGGGTGCAAGGGGGGCGACCCGGCGCCAGGGGGCGTAGGGCCACAAGAATCCCAGAGCAAGGGCGACCTGGGGGGCCTGGGGCGGGCCGACAGCCCCAGCTGGGCGCGCGCCAGGAGGCATCGGGCATGAAGCCAGGGCGGCCACTGGGGGGGGCCGCCCGCGGAGAGAGGAGAGGCC